AATTAATAAACAATTAACGTTCAATAATAATATCGTTACAATATGCATTTTATTTTCGCAAATAACTATTTAGTTTCAGAAAAATCTGTAAAATATCAAAATGTTTTGTATGTAAATCTCGAATATACCGTTATAATAATTTTGCGAATATCTACGAAAATAAACAGAGATTTACGAAAATATATGTAAAAATTTTCGAAAATAAATGAAACAAAAAATTCCGGAGATTTACGAAGGTGTCGTATAACTCCAAAAATTTAACGAGGCAAAAATTTTCGCCTTTAAAAATTTCCTGATATAATATATAAAATAAATATCTTAAAAATAAAATATCTCAAAAATTAGAAATCAATTTTGAAAATATTAATTAATATTAATATTTTAATAAATTATTTTCAAATAATAATAACTATATATTTTAAAAAATTTTATTAAGTAAAAATTTGTATAAATTTTTAACATTTGTACAAATTTATATAAATTTTTATCTATATATTTTTTGTTTTTTTTAACTTTACTTATAATTTTAAAGCGCAAAATAATTTTTTACTAAAATATTTTTAAGATAGAAAGAAAAATCTAGTTCTTAACTACAGAAAAATATATGTTTCATTCTAGTAATATTAATATTTAAGAAGTTATTCATGTTTAAAGTAAATATCTATAAAAAATTATATGAAAATTTTTAATATTTTTGTAAAATTATTAATGTATAAATTTTTACATGATTTCTCTATGAATATTTTACTTTAAATATAAATAACTTCATGAATATTGATATTACTAGTATACTTTATGGTGAAATAATTATGTTAATTATGTTAATTAGTAAAATAATTATGTTGAATTATATCTGTGAATTATTTTATTTAGTAATATTTATAAAAAATTATAATACATCAAATTATGTCAGTATTATATCAAATAAATATAGTTACTAGAATAAAATATATATCATTTGTAGTTACAAATTAGATCTTTTTTTTTATCTTAAAAATATCTTAGTAAAAAATCAATTTGCACTTTACAAATTACAAGTGAAATTGAAAAAACAAAAAAAAAATATTGATAAAAATTTATGCAAATTTGTATAAGTGTTAAAAATTTCTATAAAATTTTATCTAATAAAACTCAATTTCAATTTTTTCAATTTTTAATTATGTCTGATTTAATTTAATAATTTTAATAATATATATAATAATAATTTGACAAATATCGATACTATAAAGATAAAATAAATATTATTTTGTAACTAAGAACTAGAGCTTTTAATTTATTATAAAAATATATTAATAAGAAATCACTTCAAATCATATAAAATCAATTTAAATTAAAAATAAAAATAATTATTTTTTATATTAATATCTTTACAGATATTAATATTAAAAAAATAATTTAACTATCATTTTGGAATTTATAATCAGAGCTTTCAAATAATTTTAAAATTTATATTTAATAATAATTATTTAATAAATTTTATAATTACACTAATTAACTATTATATTACAATTTAAATATTATATTAGGTTATATATATTCTCAAAATTGATTTTTAATTTTTAAGATATTTTATCTTTTTAAGATTTTTGACATATCTATTTTATAAATAGAAATAAAAAAAATATATAGTTTAATGTATTTTTAATCAAAGAATTTATCTGGATAATTAAGTTTTAAGTAAATAATTTTATTTTTTATAAAAAACTATTTTGATTTTTGAATTTTCAAAATATTTTGACTTAATATAATAAGTTATTTTGTCTGCAAGTATATATCAGAGTTAATTTCTGAGCTCAATTGACTAAATTATATCTGGTTAAATTCCTGGTTCAATTTGTATTACATCTAGTCTTGCCTCAAGTTTATTAATTAGAAAAAGAAAAAATCTCTTATATTATTTTTACATAAATAAAATATATAACTTTATTCTAATGATTGCTAAAAACACAAAATTCCAACTAACTCATATGAGATGTGTTGTTTCAAGACAATCATTCATTCTGTTTTTATGTAATAGATACAGAGAAAAAAATTTGTGATTTGTTAAAAACAGAAGAAATTTTCATTTCTTTTTTAATAATTAAAAAAAACATATCTCTTTATTTTATTGATGTCATTTGAGATTAAAATATGTTTAAATCAGAATCATTACTTTTTATGATACTAATGAAGAAAGAGACTTTTATAAGTTCTTGTGATATTCTTACTCCAGAACGAGATATATGTAGATCTCTATCATGAATAAAGTAGTTACTTTGTTTATTCTGATAAATTGTTAACAATAATCAATTTTAATTGGTCAACATCTAATGTTTATGTCAATCGTCAATCATATATATATATAATTTACACTATACAGTATATTTACTTATCAGAGTCATGTGAATATGTGAAATTATTATTAATAGAGCCCAAGAGTGTTTTTTTCCAAAAATTTCGTACTTTCGTTTTTAGAAACTTTGCTAGTGAAATATCCAAATTCATATTTTTAAAAGCCGACTCGTTATTGCTGTTACATTTTAAAAGAAATAATCGTATAAAAAGAAATGTCGTATACAGCTGGTACGATCATTTATGCAAAGGTGAAGGGATTTCCCTGGTGGCCGGCAAGAGTAAGTATTAAATTAAATGGCCCTGTCAAAAATATGCTCTGAAACGCGGAAATTATCAAAAGAATAAGTAAAGCTTAAAAATGATTACTATCAAAAGAAGGGTATAAAAGCTTATAAAATTTTGAATTTGAATTTATTTTAGATCGAGGCGGAGTCGTCGCTTCCCTCAAATGTACTCGCAAGAAGGCCAAAAGGGACAAAGCCTGTATATGGAGTAAGGTATTATGGTACTCGTGACTAGTAAGTGTTTTTTTTTATTTCTTTTATTCCGTATTGCGAAAAAACGAAAAAATAATGTTATTCTTTCTTAGCGGGTGGCTTAGAGAAAATGATCTCAAGCCCTTTGACGTGAGGGAGGCTGAGGTCTCATTACAAAAAATGAAAAATAAAAAAAAAGACAAAATGCTCGAAAGATCAATCAGGGAGGCTTTGGACCCTTCCTCCTTCGATGACCCCATGGAAGAAGATGCGGGCAACGAAGAACTAGCACCGGATAACGATGCTGAGATGACGGAAGCAAATGATAATCAAAACGAAACCACAGAAAATGACGCAAAACCCAAGGCCCGCGGAAGGGGCACTAATAAAAGCAAAAAAATTGCTCCGCCAACTCCCGCAAGAACAACCGAACGTCGCACGAAGTCAAAGCGAAAAACTCGCGACTATTCATCCGGTGAAGATGATGCCGTAAGCCGTGATATTAAAATTGGTAAGAAACGTAGAACGAACTATGCATCAAATAGGGATAGTTCTTCGAAGCCCAAGCAAAAGCAAAATGAACGTTCAGATTATGAAGATGAAAAGATGGATATAGATGATGGTGAAGAAGTTGTGATCGATAGTGGTGAAGCCAAGACTAATAACGATGGTAAAACTAAAGGTGATGTCAAAACCGAAGATGTTGCAAAAACTGGTAGTGAAGTTAAGACCGATGGTGACATTAAAACTGATACTGAAGTTATGACCAAAGGTGATGTGAAAATCAATACTGATGATGGTGCAAAGGCTGATAATGGTGAAACTCAAACAGATATTGAACCTAAGATCGAAGTTGGAGCAAAGAAGGAACGACGACGACAAACTAAGCAAACTACAACTACAAGAAAAGACACGGAAGCATCTAATTTAGGTGTATCTACAAGATCTACCAGAAGACGATTGCAGGAAAACAATTCGTCTATCTCTGCGGAAAACTCATCGTCAAACTCCGAATCAAATACTGCATCAAATTCTGCGGATAATCCCTCATCAAATACTGCGGATAACTCTTCATTAAATACTGTAGCAGATTCATCATCGATCCCAGCGGCAAACTCATCATCGATTTCTAGTGAAAATTCATCATCCATCTCCGCAACAAACTCATCATTAATCTCAGCTGAAAATGCATCATCAAACTCTGACGTAAACTCTTCATTAGTCTCTGCATCAAACTCTGCATCAGGCTCAGACCAACGACATGCTGGAGATGAAATAACAGCCGAAGAAAAGAATTCTGACAATAAGGGTAATAAAGTAGAAAACGAGGGACCATCACGCTCAACCAAATCGCGCACAAAGTCCCCAGCCGAAAGATTGAAACATTTGCGACATAGAATTCAACGATTAATGTTTAGCCCAGTGTCAGAGGTAAATGGTTTATTAATGTATATTATGCATATTATATATTATTATTAGATTATATACAAATATTAATGTAAATTTATATCTTTTAGGAATCGGACAAAACCAAAGTTGATGAAGTATTGACTGAAATCGAAAACTTTCCAATCACAATTCCATTGTTGAAGGTATTTAAATTTTCTATTTTTTTTTTCCATTTCCATTTTTTTTTTTTTGAATATGTAATTCATACAAATTAATGATCACACACACACACACATCATCTCGTTGAATAGGAGACAAAAATCGGAAAGGTGATGCGAAAAATTGCAGAATTAAAGATAGAACCCGACCCCTGTGATATTACCCAGAGAAGCGATGAACTTATTAAAAAGTGGAAGGGTTTGTTAGAGAATAATCCTATCCAAGACGAAGATGAGACCTCGCCGGCAGAAGAAGAAAAGTAAAAGTAAACGTCAGGTGCCAATAACGATAATTAAAAAATTAACATTTTAATTGAAAATTAAAAATAAAAAAAAAATTATAAATAGTTGGAATCTAGTGAGGAAATTTTTTTTTTTTTTGCACATGCTTATATCATGTATGCATGTATTTTTTTAATAAATTGCATGATCTTTTTTTGCTAAAATATTAAAATATTGATATGTATGTGATATATATATATATATAATATATATATAATGAGGGAAGAATTGGTGTCCCATGATCAAGTGATGAATACACAATTTAGATTAAGCCAACAGATTATCGGAATTTCAGTAGTATAATATCATGTGCATATTAATAATCTTTACTACTTCCAAGTGTCGCGTCTACTTTATTGGAAGTATCTCTTGTCATGACAGTTAAAGATTATTTTGCAAAACAGGACTATAAGTTCTATATAACAGCTTCAGCCACTTTAGTTTTGGCCGGAGTTGGTCTCTACTACTTAATGACTCCTAAAACTCCTAAATCACCCAAAACACCTAAAACACCTAAAACATCAAAGCATAAATCGACAAACCGCACAAAAAAGAATAGATCAACCGGAACAAGTGAAACGAGTTCTACTGCAGGTAAGAGCAAATAAATTTTGGATTGAAAGTCTTTATGATTAATAATTTAATAACCTAATTTAATGTACATTAGGTAGAGATAGGACTGTCAAAAATCGAGAGGAAGAAGCCGAAATTGAAGAATTTGAAAAATATAACGCAGAACAAATTAATGCATTGCCTAAAGAGGTTAATTTAATTTTGATTTTATTTTAAAAACCCGGATCTATTTAATAAATGCTGATCTTTCATTGTAGAAACGTAAATCAGCCTCATTACTTCTCAAAAGCAGAGGAAATGATGCATTTGGTCATCAGAATTACGATACGGCGATAAGATTATATACACAAGCACTCGTATTTAATGAAGATCCTATCTTCTATAACAACAGAGCGGCATGTTATTACAATAAGAATGAATTTAACAAGGTCATCGAAGATTGTAATAATGCGTTGCAAATGGATCCTTATTATGTGAAAGCGTTAAACAGGCGTGCGATGGCATATGAACAAACGTCATGTTACGAGGAGTCTTTGCATGGTATCATATTATCTCTGATTATCCTTGACATTATCTTGAGATTATTTGAGATTATTTGAGATTATTTGAGATTATTTGACATTATTTGACATTATTTGACATTATTTGACATTATTTGATATTATTTTGACATTATTTGACATTATTTTGATATTATCTTGACGTTAATTATATACAATCAACAATTAAGATTACACGGCAGCTTGTATTATCGATGAATTTAAAAATGAAAATACTGCTGCATCAATCGATCGCCTTTTGAAAAAAGTGGCTAGAATTAAGGCTCAAGAAATCATTAAGGTTAATAAATTTTGTGTGTTGTGTGGTGTGTACTGTGAAAATTAATTATTAATTACATCTTTGTATTAAAGAATCGGATAAAGCGCTTGCCATCAACAAAATTTATTTCTTTATATCTGGATTCATTTCGGAAAGGTGCATTGTAAATTATATTATATATGTAAAAATTTTAATTTATCTTAAAATATATATATATATTTTTTTTTTCTCAATAGAAACAGAAAAGGATGAAAAAGGTGGAAGTGATGAACATGGTGAAAATAAAGAGAATAATGAAATTAATGAAATTAATGAGAATAATGAAATTAATGAGAATAATGAAATTAATGAGAATAATGAAATTAATGAAATTAATGAGAATAATGAAATTAATGAAAATGAAAAAACTGGAGATGATTTCTTCAAATTAGCCGAAAAATTAATGAAACAACAACGATATCAAGAGGCAATGAAAGCATACGAGGATGCAATAAATCTCGATTGTAAAAATCTTGCTAAAGCTCTCAATATGCGTGGAACATTCACTTATCTTATGGGTGATTCTCAGAATGCATTGGTTGATTTTCAAAAAGCCCTCGAATTAAAACCAGATTATGTTCAAATTTATGTTAAACGTGCTACAATATACATGGAACAAGGTTTGTTGCATAGTTCATAATAAATTATATTTAGTCACGTGACCAAATACAATTAATCACATTGACCCTAAAAGGTAATAAGGATGGTGCATGGGAAGAATTTGAAGAGGCGATCAAAATCGATCCAACTGATCCTGATATTTATTATCATAGGTTTGTAGAAAGTTATTTTTTTTTTATTGAATAAAATTTATTATCAATGGCTTTAACAACATTATTAACATTATTAACATTATTTATGATATATAATATCGAATATTTAGAGGTCAAGGTTTGTGAATCTAAAAAAAAATTTTAATGTGAGGTATTTATTTTCTTTTTTAATCATTAATTATCTTGAAACTGCATACAGTCTATTTTCTTGATAACGATTTTGATAAAGCGGTTAAAGAATATCAGCGAAGAATAGAACTCGACTCCGATTTCGTCTTTGCTTACATTCAACTTTCCATTGCTCAATACAAAAATGGTTCTATCCCGGAAGGGATGAAAACTTTCCAAAAAGGTCTACAAAAATTTCCAAAATCTGCTGAAATGTATAATTACTATGGAGAAATGTTAGCTGATCAAAGACGTCTTGATGAGGCAATGGAACAGTTTGACAAGGCTGCCGACTTACAACAAGAAAATTTTGCATTGCCTTTTGTCAATAAAGCAATGCTTTGTTTTCATGTAAAAGGTGATCCAGCTCAAGCTGAAGAAATTTGTCGTCGAGCTCTGGAAAGTGAGTATAAATTCAATTTTTAATATTTATTATATTAATTTTATATTTCTAAAATTAAATTTATTGAATACTTACAAATAATCTAGTCGAACCTGAAAGTGATATTGCTAACACAATTATGAGTGAAATACTACTCGCTAGAGGGAATTTGGAGCTTGCATTAAGATATCTTGAAAAATATCAAGAAGTAGCACGCACTGAGGCAGAGCTTCAAGGAATTTTGGAGTATGCGGAGGTAAATATAATCAATATAATCAATATAATCACATTTTATTCTGATTTAACTTAATATATATATATATATTATTAGGCCGCGCGATCTCATATCACGTTCAAGGAAAGATATCCCCAATTGGCTGATCGATTGGGTCCTATTGCTCGATAAATTCTATAAATTCTATAAATTCTATAAATTCTATAAATTCATCTATAAATTCTATTAAAAATCAGGTAATTATTATTTATAAAGAGATATTTATTCAGAACAATTTACATAATACTTGCGAGATAGCAACAAAAATATCCCTTTTGTTTTTGAAATATAATTTATTATATGTCAAAAATATAAAAATTATTTAAAATCAAATTATAATAAAGTAATGAAAAAAATAATAATATATTTCTCATTAACAATTAAGAATTAAACATAATTTAACATTTAAACTAATGTAAGGTATTTTTAGGACCTAACACCAAAAATAGTACTACCAGTTCTTACATTTGTAGATCCCAATTTTATTGCTACTTCAAAATTATCAGACATTCCCATACTTAATTCTAAATCTATTCCTCGATAATTTTTAAATTGTGTTTGTAAATTTTTTAAAATCTACATAAATGTAACCAAATGAAAGAAGAATATTGTGAGAAATGAAATATGTCAAAATAATAAAAATAAAAAATACGTACGATAAAATCTGGATTCTGTTCAACATTTTCCCTATGCCGTGCTCCGATCGTCATAAGTCCTGTAAGTTTTAAATTTTCACAATTATCTAAAACATGATCTAACAACGAAAAACATTCCTCTGGTTTTATTCCGTTTTTAGCTATTCAAAAAATATTATAATAAATGAATAATAAGTCATCGCTTGAAAGTGTTTGCTCTATTTTTAAAATATTCTAGAAATAAATGATGATTCAACTTTTCTAAGTAAAGGTAACAGAATACTTTTAATATGATAAATATTATAAATATTATAAATCATAAAATATGCCAATTTACTTTCTTCTCCACTAGTGTTTACTTGAACGAATACTCTCAAAGGTGATTCCCTTGATGCACAGACTTTATTCATCATTGAAGCTTTAGATTTATCTTCTATTGTTTCGACTGCCCACAAATTTGGTATTGCTTTTAAATTTTAGAAAATATATAGATATTTAGATATAAATGATATAATTGCATTTAATAATTCGAAAAAAATAAAAAAATACCATTGAATTACCAGCGAGCATTTTACATTTATTACTTTGTACCATTCCAATAAAATGCCACTGGATATCCAACGGAAGCTATAAATTTCGAAATTTATAAAGTTTATATTCAAAAATTTATTAATTTAACCAAAGAATTCCCAAATTAATACCATTTTACTCTTTTCAATCAATTCTTGCGTCTGTCAAAAATGAAAAAAAAATGTAAATAAGATAAAAAATAAAAAATTAACCGCGAGAAAAAAAAAAACTTACATAGTTCTCACCAAAATGTCTTTGCCCAGCTTCATAAGCTATCAAAATATCTGATACTGGTTTTAATTTACTAACTGCAACCAATCTAACCTATTTTTAGTTTCTCTAAAATTTGTAATCTCAAAAAAAAAAAAAGAACCCTCCGAAACCAAACATTTATAGCATTTATTTGATACATTAAACTTACTTCCTGTCTTCCTCGTGTTAAAGCTTTAATCCGACTTCTAACATTATTTAAGTTATTTATAATTTCTTGTCGATGAGGCTCAACATCAATTTCTGCGTTATGTGAATTCATTATTTAAATTTCACGAGTAAAAAATAGACAGTCACATCATATCTTAATATAATCACATTTGATTTGTGATTATATAGAGTTACGTATTTGAATTATCGTGTTTTTCAGAACACACATTTTATAATAAGAATGTCGGCCAGTTTATTAGCTTCTGCTTCGACTGTCGTCAAAGTTTGGGATATATCAACAAACGCGGGAAGTACGAAACTCAATGGAAATGTTAATTCAACGGTTATACCAGAACAGTTGTTCGGAGTTGAATTAGCTTCCTTTGCTCCAGAAAGTTCGTCAACCGTTGTCAATGCAGTACGTTGGAATCATGACAGTATCCTTTTAATTAATTAAATTTTAAAAATCATTTCCTTTTTTTTTATTTCAAATAAAATTAGTTTTATTTTTATTTTTATTTTTTTATTATATATCTATTATATCTATTATATCTATTATATCTTAACATCTTCAGATCAACAATTGGCCGTCGTGGGAAATAAGGGGGCACTTACAATACATGATTCACGAGGAACATTATTAGAGACTATACCGTTTAATGATGATACATCGGTAAAATTTATTATAATTTCAACATGGGAGACGATTTAGAAGAACCAATCGAATTATATATGAATTATATATGAATTATAGGAAACTCCGAATATTAGTGCCATTCATTTCGCAAATAAATCAAGATACGTGTTATACGGTGGATCAGATAAAGTTGTGAATATTTGGGATCGTAAATATTCAACGTTTACTGATGCTTTGAAGGTAAATATCGAATACTTTTTGGTATCTTTTTTTTTTTTTTCTTTGCTTTATTCTTTTACCATTGAACATTCGAAATTTCACTAGGGACATCGTAGTAATATCACATGTATAGATTTGAATATTGATGAGACCATTGTGGCTAGTTCTAATTCAGGAGGAAATATCCTTGTGCATAATCGTCAGAAATCCAATGCGTGGGATAGTTTAACAGTTCCTACAAAACAAGTAAGAATCAATGAAGTTTCATAGTATTTGTTTGATCATTCATCCTACTCATTAGATGAAAATTTAGCCAATAAACGTTTTAGCATACTCTTTTTTTAAACGAGGATTGTTGGCTGCTGGAGGAAAAGATGGATCATTACGATTATGGGATACTAGTACTTCTACTACAGCTTTACAGACATTTGAAAATGCACATCATTCTGAAATTAAAGGGATGGCCTTTTCACCTTCTAATTCACAATTATTATGTAGCGTTGGTTTAGATACACACATTGTTTTTTATGATGTTGGCAAAAAATCGTATGTGTTTAATTATTATTATTCTTCTTTTGATTATATGACTTAAATTAAAAGAAAATTTGTTAAACAAATTTTTTGTTACCCAAAGAACCTTGAAAGTCATACATACAGATTCTCCATTGACGGCATTAGGTTTCAAGGCTGATGGTTTAACTATAGTTGCGGGTACACAGCAAGGTAAATTATTTGTTTATCTTATTTCAATTTCAATTTTTATTTTTTTTTTTTATTTTTTTTTTTTATTTTTTGTTTTATTTTTTTAATATTTTAATTTGGAAATAAAAAATAAAATCTATATAAATATAATGAATATCAATTCCCTATATCAAATATGTCAAATAGGTAGAATATTAGTATATGACTTGCGATCAACTAGCAAACCTACGTGCACCTTATTTGTTCACGAATCACGTCCAATTAGATGCTTACATTTTCAAGTATGCATTTTTTTTTTTTTTTTGATTGTTAATAATAAATCTATCCCAGGTATTCAGATATTAAATTTATATTATGTTTTTTATGATAGGAGAAGGACCGATCACCAGAAGCACGCCCAACAACAACTAAACGACCCAGTCACAATCGAACATCATCTAAAGGAACTATTTTTCCTATTTTATCCACTAAGGTTTCTAAAACTTCACATCCATCATCAACTCCGTCATCAACTCCATCATCAACTCCATCAACTCCATCAACTCCGAGTGCAGGTGAAGTGAAGGAAAAAAATTTGATGGAAATGTTTTCTCCCGTGAAAGATATGAAAGATGATCTTATGGAAGATGTCATATATAATGTTAAGCCTAAAGAAGAATTTATTCCGGTGATTTCGAATAAGGAAAAGTTAAAAACCAAAGATAAGCGAATCTCATCACTGGATACAATGATGGAAAGTAAATTGACTACTAACACAAGTTCAGCTAATGTCACTAATGAACGAAAGTTAGAAAGTCCGTCACTTGTGATTTCTAAAGAGAATAAAAGGCCAATGACAATATTTACGAACGTTTCAGATACAATTAAAGAAAAACAACAGAAATTTACGCAAGATAATGGTATTACGAATCATTTCGCTAAAATGATTACAAATGATACAGATGACACGAATGACACGAAAATATATGAAGAAAAAGTGGAAAAAATGCAAGAAGATAATAAAAGAGATTTTATAAGCAATAATTTATCCAACAATGGATTATTGAGCGTTGGAACAATGGACGAATTGAAAACAAAGATTGTTTCCAAAGTTAAAGAAACGATCGGAGCTAACAAATTGTCTATGATAAACGGTGAATCAGATTTATCAATTTTATCAAATAGTTATACCAATCCAAAGAAAGTTGTTTCATTTATGAATAATGAAGTTGTAACAGAAAATCAAGAAATAGTAACAACTGATGAGGTGAGATTTGCCGCAAATCCGAAAAAAGTATGAATAATATCAATTAATGGCATATAAACTTTTTGATTATTTGTAAAAATTATATAACAGAATATATATTAATTATAGCCATTAACAAAGCTTCAGCTCAACGAAGATAATGAAGATAATGAAGATAATAGAGATGAGGTTGAAAACATTAACAATACAACAGATACGGCAACAAACTTTCAGCTTCAGGTTATTGGGAATGTAGTTGATGAATGTTTACAAGAATTTCGTATATCGTTACGAAATGATATACAGAACATGCACTTGGAGTTATTGCGTCAATTTCATATACAAAAGGTTTGTATTTTTTTTTATCGTTGAATTATAATTAATTATAATTATTATATAATATTAATAACTTTTGATTAGACGGAGATGGAAATGATGTTCCTAAAATATTGTGGGGAGACAATGTCATTACGTGAAGAAATTGAAAAACTTCGAGAAGAAAATCAAAGATTAAAGATGAAACTATAAAAAAAAAATTAGTTTATAAAATTCAAATTTGTATATATTAAAAATATAATAACATAATCAACAAAAACAAAATTAAACAAATTAAACAAATTAGATTTAGAAATATAATTAGTAATTTCTAGATACTGACTACAATTTACGAAAGTATTTACAATTATAAATGAAAGTCTGTAAATAGACGTTTTGAATTTTGCCAATCGATCAACCAACCGTTATTATCAAAAAAAATGCCTTCCTTTTCTAATAACTCACGTTTACGACTTATTTTATTACTATTAAATATTTCTTCATGTTTTTTATTGTTCAAGAGAGATTGATGCGATTGATGAACAATCCATTCGCCATCAAATCCACCTATAAAGAAATTCGAGGCGATAACACGGTGACACGGTATAAATGGTGAAAATGGATTAACACGTAATGAACCTCCAACAGCACGAGGAGATGATTTCAGGGCATTTGCCAATAATTTATATGTTGAAATGTAACCTTTTGTATAAAAATTAATTAAATTTGTTCTTTAAAATGTGCAATGCTCAATTTGATATAACTTATATAACTTTACCTTCTGGTATCTAATTATCAAATATATAAATATATTATTATTATTATTATTATTATTTGTAAAAATTATAAAGAAATTTTACCTGGGAGCATAAATCATAAACTTTATATTGAAATTTCGTGATAAGTTTTCCAGACTTTGAATTTATGAAATTCTCGCGTTCCTTTTTAGTTTTTGGATAATAAATTTCGGAAAGTCCGTTTATTTTTCGGCATTCATTCAACATATTTTTATGCGCAGATCTATTTCAGATTTTCTTTAAATTTCCACAAGTCATATGATTTAATTTACATAATTGCGCAAGCCAAAATTCAATAACAGATAAGTAATAATGCATTGAGTAACAACTTGCCAAATATTGATGATTCAACCACCATTACGAAGCTTGAGAGGAGAAGTAAACATATATATTTTATTTAATGCAATTCATGTAACTACTATAAATGCTAGAAAATGGTCTGGCTAATAAATATAATATTAACGACATTTTAATTTCTACATCAAACCGTTCGAAATAGCCAATCAAATTTCATAATCAAGTCACACGACATATTATTTAATTCAATAAAATTTTCTGAAATTTATCTAATAAGCTAATAATAAAATAATAATAATAAAAATATTAGTGAAAGAAACCTCAGGTAACAGTGATAACAACAAGAATTTATATTCAGAGTATACATGTTTTCAAAATTTTAAGATTTACTCAGAATCTATAAAGAACTTGACTTTTTTTAAAAATTAATTTCCAGGCTGTACAACTGATTTTAGGTACAAGTATAATATAAATTAATATCACAGGTCAAATGCAAAAGAATACAGTATGGAACCTCTATAATAGGTACCTTGAATATCTTTTGATCTAGTGATCAGAATTTAATAAAAATAGTACCATTGAGTAGCTCTTGAATAGATAAACAAAATAGGTAAAAAAAATTCTCGATTTTCTGATTAATAAAAATGTGATCTAGGATGATTTTTATTGGCTAATTTAATTTTATATAAATGTAAATATTTTATTAATAAAAAATATATTAATATATATTATTTATTACAATCATTTTCTAAAATAATTTAATTAAGTTTATCATCAAGAACTCTTCTATGTGATTTGTATTTTTTTTCTGCAAATACTGCAAGTTTTCCTATTATACCTTTTCTATAAATATCCATATATCTCTATGATTTTCTTGCAAAATGTCTTATTTGAATTAATAAAATAGAATCTAAAGTTTCAGGAACAATTTTTTGCAATCCATTTCATGTATAATCACAATTTTCATGTGTATATTTTTTTGTTACTTCTCAAAACATTTTAATAAAATTTAATTCACAATGATATTTGAGATAAAAAATATATTTATGTCCAGTTTCATTAATTATTGTTTCCAATTCTGACTTTTGTAATAAAAAATCAAGTTGTTAAGATATAATTTTATAAGACCAACAATTAATTCTTGTTGAATCTTTAGCTTTGTTTTTGCATAATTGACAATCAAGAATTAATTTATCATACCATAATCAATATTTGTTTAATATCTTTTAGTTTGTTTGGATATTTTAAATGATCAAAAGAAAATATCATTGATTAAAAAGTATTTTCTAATCCAAATGTTGTATTTTTCATTATTAATTGATATCCACCTGAATTTAAATTCATGCATTGTGCATATAAAGTATCATTAAAAAATACTTCATGATTTGTATGGTTATCAAATACAAAAATATCAATTGTATTTGAATAAACTTTTTTAAAAATTGATATAGCAAAATCTTTTATTTATTTAATTAAATATTTTGCAATTTATCATCTTTCTTCATTTTTGTCTGGATGTAAAAATTTTTATGCATTTCTTGAAATATCAAAATATAATTTAGCTTGTTCATTTGTTAATTTTAAATAACCAATTGTTTTAGTTAAAAATTTACTAACAATTATTGATTTTTCTTGTTCTTTTTTACAAAGAGGTGATTTATCAAGTGGTGCTCAAATTATTAGACAGTCATCATTAACATAAAAAAAACAATTATTATGAGTTACCAAAATGTGAAATTTTTAATTATCTAATAAAATTGAATCTTTTTAATTAATATTGTTACTTTCAAATATTGACATAAATTTTTTATACTCTTCCATCTTTTTAAGAAAAATATTTTTATATTCTATTATGTCTGAACATTTATGTCCATTAAATAAATTTCTTTTTTTCATAATTGTAAAATTAATTCAAACTTTTGTAATTATATTCTAGCTTTTTTTTCTGAAATTAATTTAATTATTTTCAATTGTAAAAAAGGAGTTTTGTTAATAAAAGCTCTATATAATTTTGATAAATTTTTTCTTTATTATTACAAATAAATTTCAAACTCTTTTTAATTATATTTTCATCATCTATTAATAACTTGATTTTTTGATGTCAAATTTATGATAATATTGATAATACACCAAACCAATTCTTTGACCATTTACAAATTGCTTTTGTACAATATAATTCTTTGTCAAAAATTTTCCTTGTTACATTAAATAAAATATCTTTACTATTCATATTTTTTTCTTTTTTATTAATATAAAATTCATAAACTAATTGATGCCTAAAAAAATTATATACTGAAATTTTTTTTTATTTTGATTAAGAATTATTTTTTAATATATTTATTCTTTTTGAAAAATTATTATTATTGTTATTTTCAATATCCATTTTATTTTGTATATTGTCTGTAAATTTATTTGAATTTTCTTTTGATACTTTTGATAGTGATAGTAGGTACAATATGAATTGAACCAGGAATTTAACCAGATATAATTTAGTCAATTGAGCTCAGAAATTAGTCCTGGTGCAATCTGGCATGAGGGCTGAATTCTGGTGCAAAGGCTAAATTCTGATATAAAAGTTAAATAATGATACAATTCTAATTAATTGGTGCAATTAAAAATTTTATTAAATAATTATTTTTAAATATACTTATAATATTATAATATTTTCTTCAATTTTATAATAAATAATTTTTATAAGTTTTAAAATAATAGTTAAATTGTCTTTTTAACATCAATATTTGTAAAAATATTAAAATTTAAAAATAATTAATTTTATACTTAACTTCAATTTGATTTTATGTAATGGAAAGTAATTCTTTATTAAGATATTCTTATGATAGATCGAAAGCCCTGATTCTTGGCTATACGATGATATATATTTTATTTTTGTAGCATCAAAATTCATAAAGTTATTACCGTTTTAAGATTATCAATTAAAATAATAATATTGAAAAATTTAAATACTTTATCAATTAAATCAAATATTTTATTACGTGACTAGAGTTACGTCAGCCAATCAGAATTGCACCAGAATTTAGCCAGAATTTAGCTTTTGAGTTAGAATTTAACCATTGAACCAAAATTTAGTCAGAACAAAATCAATTAATTAGAAGTGCAATTATTGAGTTAACTTAATATTAATCGAACCTACCATCCTTAACTTTTGATACTGAAATATTATTTTTATCTTGTATACTTTTACAAGTTCTTATAAATTTTCTTATATTAAAATATTACTATTAATTTCTGTATTACATCAGTAAATTTTAATAGGTAAAAATTTTTGAAAATTTATATCATGTTAAATTTCCGTAATATTACGGGACTCACAAAAATCTACAGAATTCTGATGGAATTTTGATGTTGATATAAATTTACGGAATTTTACATTGATATAAATTTACAGAATTTTGTATTAATGTAAATTTACAGAATTTTAATATTAATATAAATTTTTTATAATAAGATTCTAAAAATTTCAATATAATAAATAGATATTCTAATAGACAAAAATCTTTAATAGTATCAAAAAAATTTTTTAGATATAATATTTTATAATTTTAACACAGTATTAAATTTTCGTAATTTTTGCATAATATTTTGTAATTTTAACATAGTGTTAAATTTTTGTAATTTTTTGAATGTAATATTCTGTAATTTTAACACGGTAATAAATTTCTATAATTTTTTATATAATATTCTGTAATTTTAACATAACATTAAATTTCTGTAATTTTTTGAACATAATATTATGAAATTTTAACACGGTATTAAATTTCTATAATTTTTTGAACATAATATTATGGAATTTTAACATTTTAATAATTTTCAAAAATTTTCGTAAATTTTTGTAATATTACATGAAAAATTACGGAAATTTATCACTATATTAAAATTACAGAATATTACATCTAAAAAAATTTCCTGATGTAATATTAAATTTCTATAATTTTTTAAATATAATATTATGGAATTTTAATACGATATTAAATTTCTGTAATTTTTTGAATATAATATTATGGAATTTTAACATTTTAATAACTTTCAAAAATTTCTGTAAATTTTTGTAATATTACACAAAAAATTACAAAAATTAATCACCATGTTAAAATTACAGAATATTACGTCCGAAAAAATTTCCTGATGTAAGTAGAGAATTACAATATAGAAATTATATACTGAGATTACAAAATAAAATATAAATCAACAAGGATTTTAATATTTCACTAAGGAATAATATGAAATTTCACTAAAAAATTATAAGGTAAATTACAAAGTGTTTTATTAATAAAATTAGCAAAGGAACTGAAGATTAACCATTAAACTAATCTTCTAACTAATTAACTATTTGAACTAAACTAACTGAGAACTGAGCAAAAAGAAATTCAATCCTTTATATATATAATTAAAGTTATAATAGATTATGTTGTAAACTATACTAAAATATATATTATTAATTACACTGATGTATATATTATTAACTACACTTTCTATTATACTATTTATTACACTGTTTATTATACTATTGAATATATTATTAATTATGTTATATATTATACTGATAATTATACTCAGATTTACAGTTGTAATACTTAATAGTTATACAATTTCAAAATGATTTACATTAATAGTTTCTTATAAATATATACCAATAAAATATGAAATTAAACTAATAAAATATAAATAAATTAATAAATACATGATGATAAAATAATAATATAATAAATAAAATAAAAATATAATAATAAATAAAATTTGACCATTAAGATCAACAACGTAATATATTTCTTTTGATCATTTTTTTATTTTTTTTTATTTATATAGAAAATTTGACAAAAGATAATTTAACAATATTAAAATTGGACTATTGTAATTAAAAAGCAAATTAAATACCAATTTTGTGATCAGGT